GGGAGAGAGAGAGAGGGAGAGAGAGAGAGACGGACTACAAAGCTACAAAGAACAACGGAAGCGGGCAAGCAAGTACACGCTGGAATGTTGTCGAAGCCTCTTCTTCCCCTTTCCATTCCGCGCTGAACGGTCGGCCGTCGCTTGTGTCCGGCTTCTTTCTTGGCGCTATCTTTGTGTTTTATACCTTGGACTCCTGCTTGCCTGTCTGTTAAGCGAGTGATTCGGGCGGGGTAACGACGGAGCCAGATAGAGCGGTGGTAAGCAGATGAGCGTTTGCCCGGAAAAAGGTTAAAGATGCTGCAAAACTTGCGTGCTGAGGGAGGGGGGGTGACGCAAACAATACTATACGGTACAGTACCTCGAAAATGCGAGGCCTGCAACAGCATGACATGCATGAACAAAATGCATCCCGAGGGCGGGATGCGCAGCGGCAACATCCTGTTTGCGTTTGCTGTAAACAGGGTGGGGACCATGTCACACTCTTGGTTTACGTGAGGTAAGATCTTGCTGTTGCGACATGCGGAAAGGTCCGACGTGGGACCACAAGCGGCATTGCACCGGGAAGAGCTCCGGATCCTTATGGCGGACACCCATTGTTTTGTTCTTTTCTGCAGACAGCGAGCAACGATTTCATATCCTTAAGCGTTCTTGGAATGTTGGACGACGCGAACCGTGCAAGTCTAAATCGTCGGAAGTGTTGCGCCGTGTCACCAGGTGTTGCGAGTGGATCTGTTCCTCGTTCATTTGCAAGTACGCAGGCGCAGCTTCTCTTTCGCTTTACCGTTTTCATGGAGGAGATGCAACAAGCACGCGTCAAGCACCCCATGACCTTAACACAACCTTAAGATCTTACTGCTTCACAACAAAAACAACTCAGGCGAATAGACCTTTCCGACAATCATCCTCCGCGGCTCCAGAGGCAACGGAGGGCCGCAGCCTGCAACACGGATGTAAAATTTCTAGGTGGTGGGCACGTGGTACGATCGATGCCGCGTTCTCCACGAAGACAACACGCCACGCCCCACGGCGCACGCCACACGCCTACGGCACCCCGCCGCCGACAATTCCAAACCGAGGAGAAAGACACGAGTAGCACCGTCTTCTCCACCCAACATCCGTTGACCTACCATTTCATAGCATCAAACCCGCATGACACACCGCCTTCCAGCCAAGGCCAATCATCAGTGCCGCAGAAAATATACCAGCGGTCTTGAATGGCAAGCCCCTTCACGCTCTCAACCACTGTTATTTACTCCAGGCGTTGTTGAACAGCAAGAAAAAAAAAAAAAAAAACGCCTTTTTACAGCGCACGTCCCCTAAACACCAGTAAATGCAATGGTTTTCTTACGCGCTGCGCTCACCGTCTTGGCCTTGCTCGCCTTCTTAGCGGCACCGGAAGCCTTGCCGGAGCGGTCCCCGTCTTTGGCCTTTCTTTGCTCCCGTCCCCTCTTCTCCTTGTTGGCCTCGACGCTCGCGGCCTTGGCCGCCCTCGCGGCAATCCTCGCCTCCTTTTCGGCGATGAAGTCTTGGGTGCAGAACGGCACCGAACTTCGCGTCAACGACCGCGTACACTGCGAGGGGCAAAAAGGCAAAACGAACACACATCAGTAAAAAAAAAATCGGCGACCCCGACAAGTGGTGGAATAAGTAAGTAACGACAACAGCGACACGTCGCGGCCAAGAACTCGTGGTTGCAGAACGGCACCGAAGTTCTCGTCGACGACCTCTGGGGGGGGGGG